GTCCCAAGGAGCGAGATTGTGTTCTCCAACGGGCCAAGAGGTACCGATTGGAGGGATCACATGTTCTCCGAGTGTGGGAGGACGGTAGGGTACGAGTAGTACCACATCCAGCCCAAAGAGCACGCATTGTGAGGCATGCTCATGAGGAGTTGGGACATTTTGGAGTGAAGCGTACATACAGCTTACTCCTTGGTCAGTATTGGTGGCGTGGTATACATACTCAGGTACAGCTGTTGGTATCACGTTGCATGGTTTGTGATCGAGTGAGGGCATCATTCAATGCCCCGACACCAGTGTTACATCCATTACCCATCATGGGGTTGGGTTACCGTTGGAGTTTGGACTTTGCTGGACCACTACCTTTGACTGTACGACATCATCGGTATGTGTTGGTGATGGTGGAGCATTTCTCCAAGTGGATTGAGTTGGTGGCATTACCTGACAAGGCAAGTGAGGGAGTAGCGTATGCTTTTCTTGACAGAGTGCTTAGTCACTATGGTGCACCAGCTGAGGTGTTGACCGATCAGGGAACGGAGTTTTAGGGTGAGTTTCAGGTCTTGTGCGACAAGGCACTGATTGATCATCGGACCACGTCGCGAGATCATCCAGAGGCGGATGGTTTAGCTGAACGTGTTGTACAGACGGTGAAGAGGGCGTTGCGCAAGTATGGCCTGCAGAAAGGTCATCTTGGAGACTGGGATATCCAGTTACCGTGGTTGGCCATGGGATATCGGTTCAGTCGGCAGGCATCCTTGGCTTCCTTCTCACCATATTTTCTATTGTACGGCCGAGATCCAGACTTGCCAACATCGATTCGTCGTGAGTCTAGCGAGGTGGTGAACCTTGATGACCCGAATATGTGGGTGAGAGTATGTTCTCAACGTGCAGAGCTCTTTCGGAGAGTTATGCCTGCAGCGTTTGAGAATCTTGCGATTGCTCAACATAGAGATATGTTGCGGTATGCAACCATTCGGGGAGGAGGTTATCGACCATCAATTCGTAGATTCCATGTGGGAGACTACGTCTATCTACAGCAGACTGCACCGACGACATTGGATGTGACGGCGGGACGCACAATCTTGCGGGTGCGGGAGGTGTTACCTTCTGGAGTTCTCCTGTTGGAGGGTCGTGACGGCGTTGTTTGGAAGGATCATGTGCGCAATTGTGCGCCATGCCACCTCCCAAACGTAGATGGCACTATGGACCCAAGCTTAGCGATAGTACGTGCTGGCTTGAGGTGCATGCTGTGTGGGTCGGCTGGTCAGGCGGCCCGTATGTTGGTGTGTGATATGTGTTCTAGGGGATGGCACATGTTGTGCCTGACTCCGCCTATCGATGTTATTCCGGCTAGACGATGGGTTTGTCCTCGATGTACTTCATAGGGGTAGATGACTTGATCTTCACATGTTATGAATTGCAGATAGGCGACTAACGATGGGGCGACATAGCACCCGGCCTACTGGTTCGCGCACCCACGAAGGTGTATAGCATGTAGTTTTAGATAGGGCTACCTGGGAGTCAGAGGGACCTGACCGCCATCTAGGGGGGCGAGTTGTGACATTTGAGTGTGTACTCTCTCGCGCCTTATATGTGTGTATGTGTGTGCGTATGTGTATGTGAGTAGCATGTCAGCGATGTAGAGTGTATGGCGATATGTATTCGCACGACAATTGTCATGTAGTTACGAGTCGGCTCACGCCGTTTAGACACTTACTATATTTGGACGTGAAGTTAGGGTTCAGGTCACGAGGGGTATACAGTCGGGGACGGCTCGAAGAACGTTAGTTCTTCGAGTCGAGCCTGGAAGCGTTGGGAGCGTAGAGTGACTTTCCCCTTTGCGTCGACCTGGATTCTCCGAGTGTGGAGTGGGTTGGGCTTGACTCATGTTTGTGACGGTGACGGTTTGTTGCCAGTAGAGTAATTGACCGACGGGAATTCCAGTGGGGAATCTACCGTTTATTTCAATTGTGACATTTGAGTGTGTACTCTCTCGCGCCTTATATGTGTGTATGTGTGTGCGTATGTGTATGTGACTAGCATGTCAGCGATGTAGAGTGTATGGCGATATGTATTCGCACGACATCCATGCACTACTTGTAATCACTTTTCTTCTCCAATCTACCTTCGGATTATATTGTTCCATCCATGGCATTCCAAGGATGACATCATATCAAGCTAAACGAATTACTCTCCATTTGATGCTCTCCTTGTATCTACCTATGGATAATTCTACACTCCATGGTAGTGTTTCTATCACTTCAGTTTGCACGTTTGGCAATTCAACTTCTTCACTCACGTCCTTCATCAACATCAAACCTAACTTCATAGCAACACTCCTTGATAGAAAATTCTCAGTTGCTCCAGGATCAATTTAAACTCTCACCTTGTGTACTTCCATGAAACCATCAGTGACAATGAGTTGAGCTTGCTTCTTACCCCTTCCATGAGCTCCCAACCATTGCATTCTTCCAACCTCGCCTTTTCTTCGCTTTGTAGAACCAGTAAGGCCGCGAGGCAAGATTACTAGTGATCTTCGTTTCCCGAAACTGCTTCCTGTTAATGCATACACAAAAATGTCTCCATTTTTTCTTATGTATAAAGCTCATCCTATAACTCCTTCAAGTTTGATGAGACTTCCGAAAGGTGAGGAGTTTTCGACCAAAGTTGCAGCAGTCAACGAATTTGTGGAGCATATTCACCGAGAACTACATCACGCCAAGAAGAAGTTGGTGATAGCTCAAAATCGGCAAAAACAGCATGCCGATGCTCATCGTAGAGAAGTGGTTTTTGAGGTCGGAGATCATGTTTGATTATCAACAACGGAATTTATCTCTTGTAGGATCATCAAAGTTGAACCCTAGGTTCATTGGTCCATTTTTGGTTTTGAAGCGTGTTGGTGAAGTGTCATACAAGTTGGAACTTCCAATCAAATAGAGTTCCAATCAAATAGCTCGAAGTATTCTCAGCGACGAAGTATTCTCAAGAGGATTATGGATAAAGTATTCTCAACGCTAGGTTAGCTCAATAGAGCTTAACTCGCTAGATTTAACAACCCACGCTGCAACAAGCCGTGTGTTGTTCAATGGCCGTGGGAATGCATTTGTTTGTTAGAAAATGGACCTGATCAAAGCAGTCTCTCATACCTATGAATCTCTAAGCATATTACAAGGGTAAATAACGTTCTCAATGTTCCTTTCCACATTGCTTTGGAGACTTCAAGTTATTGTCGACTAAGAAACATGTCATTCAATTGGTTACTACATGTTTCAAATTACGGTCACTATGCAGCCTTACGTGGTTATGAGCGTGAGCTATATGCTAAGAAGTGGATACCTTTTGTGAAGGTATGTTTTCTTTGCGTTATTTGTTGTCTTCATCTCAAAGTAGCAACATTTCGCCACAGTTTGATCGCGGACAACCCGATCTTCTAACTAGACTTTTGAACGTTCGACGCTATGTGGATGATATCTTAATCCCCTCAGTTCTGGAGTTCACCGATCTAATGTTAATCTCTCCTCATGCGCTTGGAGAGGTTATATTTCCTAGCTATTAATGGGAGTAATTATTATTGAGTAATTACCTGGTGAAGTAAAGGTAAAGTGTATTATTCATTTTTATTGGGTAATTATCTGATTAACAAATAAATTGAAAGTAAAGTGTATTTTTTACTTTTATTTGGTAATTATAGTTTTAACGATTAAAATGAGGGCAAATTTTATTTTTATTTTTATCTATTATTACCCGGTCAAAGGGTAAAGTAGAGGTAAAGGTATAAGTAAAGCGTGACCAATGTGATAAGGGTAGAGGTAAAGCAAAGGTGAAGTACATTTTATAGCCCGTTTAACTTTTCTGTTACCTTGCCTAGGGCTAATCGTGAAAATAATACCATTCGTTTTAAATGAAGAAAGATACACGAGAAGGAAAACTTCGGAATGTATGAAAATTATGCTACTTATACTATTACTTTTGCATTATAAATTGTACAGATTATTATACTTTCATGAATATTTTCCGTTATTCAAATTTTTTTTTAAGTAAGAATATTGTAAACTAATCCATTTGGAACTAAAAACTTAAAACACACTCTACATCAGCGGTAAAAGATGTACTTCATTTGAATGGATTATAAACATTTAGGATATATTTATGCAAGCGTTTCTCGTGTACATGTGCGAATACAACTGTACATAACCTTGATCTGAATAAGTCACATAAATAAGGTTGTGCTTCAGAAAACAAAACTGGCGCGCATAGTTTCATAAAATTGCAAGAAGTGTCATAAGTTATAGTTTCTCTAGAGGAGTAAAACTTGGCCTTTTAATATATATGTTTTTGAGAGTGGACGTGTCCATATCTCTTAATTAAGATTCACTTTGATACCAAAAACGTCAAGTTTGATTGTTTTAATGTTTCAAATTACTAAAAAACTATTTGCTTGATTTATTAATTTATGTCATAGACATATAATGAAAAGCACATTTATTTTTTGATTAAGATTTTGAGGCGATTTCCTATCAATTGTCGATCACAAGATGGATATATTTAAAGTGTATCCATTCTATATTATCGTAAGATTTGATTCAACACAGCTCCCTGATTGATCGTACAACGTATCATCAATTCATATGCAAAAGATGAGAGAAGTACTTAATTTCATACAATCATTTGAAACTGACAATGAAGTTAATTCCTACATAAACTAGATCAATATATTGTACAAGTCAAGATGATCTGAAGAGAACGAATGCAGTAAATAAAGACTTAGTTTGCATAGTTAACAATTACTTACTAGGTATTCTCTTAAAATAAATAAACATGTTAAAGAATTATTAAGATTAAAAAAATCAAAATTTATGCTCTGTATTTAAGAAAATATAGATACAATATTTTTTCAAATGAGACATATTATATGTACATTTTGTTCTATTTTATTTTTGCAATTAGTTCTAAAGTACAATTGCTATGAGGATTGACGCTAGAAATTTGTGAAAACCAAGTGCGAATACATCATAAAATATGGTTCGAAAACTATCCTGAGAAATCCAATTCCGGAAATGTTGCACGCTCGGTATCCAGTATCGAACCGATTCGGCTCTGGGCGAATGGGAAGACTTAAGCCCTTCCATCTTTTCCCCGATAGCACGAGACTCAGATTCCTGTAGTGGTTGGGCCCTGGGAGATCTTTAACTCCAACAGTCGTCCAATCAGCCTTCTCATCTTCTCGTCGCAGATCGCCCGTCCGACTCAGAGATGCTCCGTTTCCAGTGGAGTATGGGGAGGATGACGGCACCATTCCATCATCCGGTCGTGGCTTGCAGGCCTTAAGAAGGGCCGAAGTCCTCTCCTGTGTCAGTGATTAGGACCTCCTGCGCAGTTCTGTGAATTGCTAGTACCCTCTTCGATCTTCGATTGGCATGCAGGACCTACCGAGATGAAGGCGAGTTCGACATGTATTTGTGGTCTGGCTTGTGACGAATTCGCTGATCGACCGATCGGGCGTCCAATGACCTGCAAAACACCCTCGACAACACACGGGTCTGTTGCGTGAAAGAGGCAGGGGCTCTTCGTCGCTAGCTGCTGCTGATGCTTGGAAAGCTCAAAGGTTGAGGTGTTACTCCTTGCCAGAAGGCACCCGAAGAGCGTAAGCTGCGAGCGACAGGTCCGCTTTGCTGAAATTCGGCCGAATTTGAACAAAGCAGGAACTACTCCTAACTGTCACTGAAGGAGCTTCCTCTATTTCGACTAGATCCCCCTGTGTAGATAGGGATTAGCTTGGCCCACAAGTACGATGAATTAAAATTCCACTTTTCTGGACTGTAGCAGTGGTCAGCATTCAGGCGCTCGTCCTGGTTGCGAAACTTCAGTATTGCATCTCGTTATAGAATCGAGAGTCCGGGATTGGAATTGAAACCTACGCATTTGTCACGGTTTCCTGGAAAATGCTAGGCAGCAGTTCCTTCTTTGACTTCAATTTTGATCAGGAAGTTGCCAACCTACATCTCTCCGACTATTGTCAAACTGAACCACAAACGCCACTGATAAACACACATACCACGCTATTCACACAAGGAAGTAGTCCTAACTATCAGAGTCAGGTCTCCGTTGATCTTCAAACGGAATCATTCGAGCTCTCTCCTCGAGGTCTCTCCACGATGACTATATCAGAAGACACGGGTTCAGAATACCACGCAGCCACTACAGAGCCTTTTCTCTACCTGTCAGACTTGGAGACACCACTTCAGAACACAGCTGATGGTAAACAGGATGTGACCCTCTCGGTTAACCTCACGGCATCTGATACGACAGTTCGTGCCGAAATTCAGGAAAGTGGAGAAAAACCACCATGTAATTCTGGTCATTCTTTGTTGGACTCAATCTCTTACAATTCTTCGAGAGAAGCTGAAAACGATATAGAGTTTTGGCTACGTGCATATACAGCTCCAAGCAAAAATCTGCCTTTCGGCTGTGGGGAACCTAAGAAAACATACCACAAAATAGCAGACGGTAATTGCAACGTAGTCGATCAGAAGCCATGGGGCCCGCAACTGCTGCAATCATCTGAAGCTCCAAATCACGTCCTATCTCTCGAGACAAGAAAAGATGGAAATTCGAGTCAAGTAATTCTGGAAGGCCAATCTAACCTTGTGGAAGTGCAAACTGCGACTCGACGCTCGCCACGTTCACTTGAAGCTCTAAAAGATCTTGGGATTTTTATGTTTGGAGAAACTGAAGAGCCATGTCCCACCGTTGCAGAGGGTAAACTCAACATTGAAAATACAGATACACTTTGGCAGCCTCAGTCTGAACCACACGATGACACTCTCTTTGGAGAATTGTTTAACTTCGACGATCGCGCAGAGGATGAAGATCACCGTCAATACGTTTTGGGATCCATGTTGGAGGAGCTCGAGAAGTTCGTTGACAAATCCGATAATGAACTTTGTAGAAGTTCTGAGACAACAAATGAATTAGACCTTCAGTGTCTCATCGTGCATCATCCTGACCTCCCTAAGATAATTGTGGCAAGCCTTGCCTGCTATAAGGTACTAAGGTCCCCGGAGTCGGTCCGAATGCATATGCTATCTCCATTGGAGCGTATTCTTACTAACCTTAAGCTTCAAGAGTTTCGCCAACTCATGTGCATAAATATCCTAAAGAATGTTAGAACGACTATTCTTGAGTTTGTGGAGTTTGTGAATCCAGTTACTTGTTAGTCAACGACGGGTATAGACGGCATGGAAGAACTTATTAAAAGGCTGTATGATCACCTGCGAATTGCACATTCGATAGTAGACGTTTGAGGCTATGACGTCTTGTAAGATGTGATTTTATTATTATGGTACCACCTACTCATGTGGACTCCTGGCTGTATGTGTTCTGTTCTGATTTATACATCAGATAAGGGCTGATGAAGAGGAGAAAAAGCAGCTGGACGAGGTGGCCAACTTATCTCTTTCCAAGCTCCCAGCACAAGACCAGCTTTTGGGGCGTGGATACTCCAGCAAGGGTAAAGACCCACGTCTCGACTTATGCTTGGTAATTTTCTTCAATCATTCTCATTCTCGCACGGTTATTATTTAGCTAGATAAGAATCGGTTGTTTATGACTGTTTGGCGATCAGAGGAATATTCGCCTAGTACATTCTCATATTTACAACAATTCAAATGAAGTTAACATTTTATGCTTATGGCAGACCTCTTACAGATTCGCAACAGCAATTTCATGAGATTTAGTCAGTTTCATACATCATAAATGCCTCAACACTTTTCTACAATTCTCGGATTTTGTGTCGTGAGAATGTGTAGTCCTTATCTCACCTTCTACACGGGTCTAGTCTTACGTTTCGTCCGATCTCGTTAGGTAGTAGTACCTGTTACCTTGAGGAAATATACAGCGAATGTTTGAATGGATCTATGAACTCCAGTGATACATAATGTCAAGCGGATGTGACGTTAATTTTGTTATGAGACTTTCGACTTGGTAGAATGTTACATAAGGGCTTTCAATTTTGCAGGATAAGTATCTGAAAGCCCTCGATGAGTTGGAGAAACACATTTCGAAGCTGGTCACGTCAGCCGACACTCACTGTGTTCAGATGAAACAGAACATTCTTATACAGTGTCCAGAACTTGGTAAGAACTTCGTTATTTTTCTTCGAATCAGCTAAATACTTCTTTTCGAGTAAGAGGTACAAACATCTACAGAGACGAGCTGCTTGTTCGAAACTAACAGGCTCCACAGATTTCTTATATATGTAACATTACTAATCATACTACTAATCATTACCGCGTATGTTCTGCATGTTAAAAGTCCTAGTGAATGCGATTTGAATGTCAATTACTTGGTATATGTGGTCGTCTTGCGGGAATTTGAGTGAGTAAAATCATCTTCTGCTGTTGGGTTCGAAAAGCTAGTAGGTCTTGATCATGTCTTACTAAGGTCACTAGGTTGAGACGATTGCTGGCTGCCTGCGTTGGATGAGCTCTGAAACTTACTTTCTTTTCCATGTGGTAAGCGCACAACAGACACTAGGACGAGCTTCTAGAAGACTGACAGTCACTAACTGATGCATCAACACAGGTGATGTTTCAAAGCAGAGCGAAAGTGATTCGGTCAGTGGTGGGCAAAGTGAGCTTTTCACTGAAGAAATGGAGAAGATAATTCAAGACCATGAAAAAGCAAAAGACAGGCCCCAGCGATCTGCCCTCCCCATGTTGACAGATCAAGAATGGAGAGGAGCAATCTTAGCTGCATATAATCCAAGTCTTCTCAGGACCTTGAAAACGAGGCATCTGAAAGAAGGCCGCAGAAACCTGAAGCTGCCCGATCCGGCTCGACGTATTTTGCTCAATTGGTGGACCGAACATCAGGGGAAGCCTTACCCGTCGGTAAGTAATTATTTCCTTTTGGTTCCCCGATGCACTTTCAACGTCCAGGCTTTTTCCACATTGTTTGAGCTGTCCAGCTGCTCGGCAAGAGTCGTGCCTATCTGGTTGCAGCTGAGTGCTTATTTCTTATCTTCTGGGTCTGATTACCGAATTGCGATCATTTCATCTGTGATGTGGCCAGTATAATTTGAAGCCTTCCAAGGCTGCAAATTACTTCACATCGTGAAGAAAACCAAACTAAATTCCCCAAGTTTGCTTGCTCGTTTTACTAATGCATATTTACTGAAGTCACAAAGCATATAATGACAGCTACGTGAAAATTCAGGAGGAGGAGAAACAAATTCTGGCCAAGTGCTCGGGCCTTGAGATTGATCAGATCAATAACTGGTTCATCAATCAGAGGAAAAGACACTGCTGCTCTGCGTTCTCTGAAAATCACAAGAACCATGCGGCCGACTGTTACAAGATGAATGGCCCAAGACGATGATCTCCAGCCCCTTTTCGTTCGCAGCTAGATTGACATGCCTTCAGGAGAATCTATGATGTCGGACTCGATGACTCAAATCACATTTCTGCCATGGACGTTTCTCAGAAGACGAGATTTGGAAGCTGTGAGCTGTACGTTGTGAGAACCAAATGGAATCTTAACCATGATGTCATATAGAAGTCCAATAACTTTGAGGCCAGGTAGCTCATTCTGAGTTTGTCTGCCCAGATACATCCTGCAGATATTATGTCCCTTAGACTACGATTCTGAAAGCCAGGATCGAACTCATAGCTGGCATACCGATAAATGCTGTCGGCAGTCGTTCGGTAGAGATCAGATCTTTCTTTGTAGAAGTTCAGATTTTTGTGAGCGATCTCCTTCATTTGAATAAAAGGACATCTAGAAGTCGTTGTGTTCTCACTGACGTCCTTACTTTTAATTGCATCGCAAGCAAAGTGTGTAATTTGGTACACATTTATGTACCTGATTGGTGTCACAATCTAAAATTATGTTTAGGTGGATAACGCACATAACTGCGGTCCACGCTCACTCTGAGTAAGTGAATCTCCTTGCAGACCTTGCGTACCATGCTCCGATCCCATCAAGGCAGGAAGCATCCGTGTTGGAAGGATCCTCAAACATTGAACCGCTTTATGCTTTTCTCAAACAGGTTGTCGGTGGAAATGTTTGCAGTGCTGTTGATATCGATCACAGGGCTCACCAATTTTCTCGGAAGGAAAGACGGCAACTGTAGTACATTGCCATACTTCCTTTCTCACATTCTACGATTGCCTCAAAATGGGTTTCTGATCTAACCTCCGAGCTCCATACGATCAAATTTGACCCACATTACTACTTATAGAGCTCTGGGTATAGTCAAGGTCGCCCTGGCACTGACGTCGAGCTGGGATGGTATCGAAACTGATTTGTTTTGGCGCTTTCGTGGCATCGATCTCATCAAAGTGCCCCAATCGATGAACCTGCAGGTCAGCGGCCATCTACATTCTCCCTCGCAGTCTTCGGATTGGGAGCACTCGCTGGTTACATATCATCGAGCATCCGGCTATCTCATGGGATAGAAATTGCACGTCGAGAACTGGGGCTTGTTAATCAGCTCTGGAAACTCTGGAAGATCCTGGCAGAGGACTTCCAAAAAGATCTGCACAGGGCCGGCATGCTTCTCGAACGTCACTCCGACGCGTCCAATGTGCAATCTTATGAGTCGGGGGTAAGTCTTCTTGAGCTTGATCATGGTGCGCACGCCCATGGCGTCCTGAAATTCGATCTGCGGCGGGAGTCTCAAGTTCGTGACCTCCAGCAGCCTTCGGCTGTAAGGAACGAACCGGGGCGGCAAGGGCCCCACATCGCGTGGAGCTTTCTCCCATGGAGGCCGCAGCCAGCGAGGCGGCGGCGTACCGAGATATGGCTTCGGGGGAGGAGGAGGAGGAGCCTCTTCGACAGGCGGCAGTGAAGCTGGATCTACTGGAAGCCCATCTGGTCCCAGCACGACTAGAGCAGCAGCTGGGTCTCCCGCCTTCAGAGATGGTTTCTTCGCCCCCGCGGAGCCTGCCGATCCCGATCCAGAGCTTGCGGTCACGGATTTGGACGAGTCCGTGGGAGATTTGGATCCCTGCGACGCACCAGTCTTCGCTGCCGCCGGAGCGCTGCCCGTCGCCTTCCCTGCAGCTGGGACTGCGGCAGGCTTTCCAGCAGCTGGAGCTGCTTTTCCTGCCGCCGCCATCGATAGTGCAGGCTTACCGAGGAATCAAAACCATATTCTCTACGTGATTCTCATGCCATTCATCGTTCGCGGTGTCGAATCCCGATTACATTTGGAATGCGAACTTGGAGGAGGACAAAGCGACTTTTTGTTAAAGCGTTGCGTCTCTTGGGTTGGACAAGCGCCCGATTGGTATCTTGAGCAGCTAAACTGAGTGTGAAGCTTCAGTGCAGTATCACTATTTTGAGCATTAAGGGGCTGAACACAATGATCAGATCAGTTGCCTGATCTCCGACATCTGTTTCCAATAAGCTTTGCTGAATAGCTGTCAAGAGGTCACAAGATATTTGGTAAGTCGGTAATGAGATCGATGCGGTACTTGATACGAGTCGGAGGCCACACTAAATGTCAGATGAGCTTCTTTCTTAGCCTACTTCCAGCCAGCGAGCTAGTAACAGCAGCTCTTAAGGGTCAGAGCAATCCATAACTCACCGAACTCGAGTATCCTGGTGCGGTGAGTTATTGTAGAGCTAGCTGACCACCTCTTTGGATCTGCGAAAGTGTCGACAACAACCTCTGCAAGATGACGTGAAGTTTCTGGCTACGCGTGGAACGATTTGAATTAGTGCCCGCTATTCAGGTCCCTTAACAGTACAGGGATTAGAGCGTTTTGGCAAAGTGATAAAGAGTGTCGCATCTCTGTGCCCTGAAGTTTTTGGTTGTAGAAAGCCTCTGCTTTCTACACGACGTGCAGAAAAGCTGGAAATAGGAATTATACTGAAGTGAGTCTGTTGATTGAAACTGCACGTGGTGAATGTAAGAATTCAGCAGGAAAGAAAGATGGGGCTTTCAAATGAAGATCATGATATCACCGTTCCCAGCTAGCAGTGGCTAATTCTGAAACTGGGCATACATGTCTGAAAATGTTTGAAACCTGTAGTTTATTTGAAATAAACCATATTCTAGTCAATGTGAGAACAAAATTATGCTCATGACCCAACCATCTGCTTATGGCCAGATTGTTTCTTCAAGGTTAAGTTTGTATACTGGTGAGTGCTCACAGTATGTAAACTTAACCTTGATTCCCTCTCAAGAAGTTTATTCTGAGTCCGAAATTCTGTCCCAAAATTTGAGTTCGATTTTCCAAATTCACCCTTCTGGCCAAGTAAGAATATGACGATTTGCGTTGATAAGGCGGGTGGTGACGAGGAAATTTTAGGACCAATCTAAGGGGCCAGCATGACTGTCACGTTACATTTTTTATAATATCTAATCAATAATACGTCGTCTGTATACGTCCATAAGCCTAGTTGTCGCTAAGAGCTCGACGTGGGGATCGAGAGAATTGCTTATCTGCAAGCGTCAAAACTTGTAGGATCGGCACAATGAGAAGCCGTAGGAAGCAGATAAATGTGTTTACACATTCTGAGCAGAATCGGTTGAATGATTTTCTCTCAAATAGATAAATAGTACACCCAAGTCAGAAAATTCAATCTGCTACTTCTGCGTCAAGAATTCCTCTAAAGCCTACAACAGTGTGCTCAAAACTTTGACATTCGAAACTTGGTCACCGTCGACAAACAACCCGATTTCCCCTCTCCGAAATCCTGGCCACTGCAATACAAAATCTGTGAACAATGTATCCTCCGTCCAGCTGAGTCCAAAATTGCGCAAGAATGCCTCCACGACCTCCAATCCCAACTCTTCTCCACCCTGCATTGAATCGACCCGCGCGGAGGGCAAGTGTCGGCTCCTCGGCCGCAGCCCCTTCCCGCAGTCAAAGCTGCCATGGTCGAGCGGTATTCATCCAACCTCGTTCATAGGTTTCCAGATTCTTCTGATTATGCCTCGTCCAGCCATGTGAAATTGAAGTTTCAAGTCCCTGTGAATCTAGTCTGAGATCCTTGGAAAGCAGAAAAATGTACAATTTTCTACCGGCCTATCGTCAAGCAATGTGGTCCTTGCGCCAATCGAACCCGGTCCAATCCTCCTTCCCAGCCGCCGTCGTATCTACGTCCTTGAGAGAAACCCAAATCACGTTCCACATGGAATCAAAACATTGAACCCAAGGACCGTCGCTCGGTGTAAAGCCGAGAGGGCAGTCGGGATAAGCTTTCGGTGCAGCCGGATACTGTGTCTGGTATTCCTTCGAGAGGTAGGGGCTGATGGTGGAGTCCCAGGGGTGATCTGATTTCTTCTTCGTTTCAGTCTTGTACTGGGACGAGAGATAGTCATCGACGGGCACGCGGGGCGGCTTGAAGTCCGGCGGCTTGAATCCCAGCGCGTTCGGGTTCAGTGCAGCATTTTGGTACTCCTTGGAGGTCCATGAGGGTTTTTTGGATCTGCGCTTCTTCCTCTTACTACTTCCAGACGGGGAGGACTCCATGGCATGCTGCCTTGCCGGCCTTGTGCACGGGCCGACCTTCTACGCCATCCTGCACGAGCGCAGGCCGAGGACGGGGCGCCCGCTTCTGCTTCTTCTCGCCTAAACCGCTGCGTCTCTTGTGCGCCAAGCGTGGTGCCCCTTGCAAGCCGGGCTTTATGCAGAAGAAGCAGAAGACGAACAAGACGCCGCACACGATCCGCGAAGAATCCATGGCACCTCGAGCAAGATCGCCGTGGTCAACCGCAGCATGTGAGCGGGTCCGAGTATCACTGCCCTCCCCCGGGATGGCACCAGGCTCCGCCTTTATACCCCCCGTTGACTCTCCGGGGATGCTCTCGGAGAGATCGCAAGGGGAAAGTCTCGTCGCGGGGCCGCAAATGACGAGCTCGTGCTCGGGCCTCCTGCAGTCATTGAAGTGGCCGCGGGCGTGAAGAGGCAAATGATGAGGTCCGATGTTTTCGGGGGGCGACCCTGCCGTAGTGGAGAGCCGAGCCCCGGGCTCGATTCGATGATTGAGGTGAAGGCGGTGCACGTGAGAGCAATTCGCAGGAGCGGTGATTGAATTATGCAAGCGTCGTCCGACAACTCTGTGGATTCGCACGCAGCCTCCGCGCCATCGTCCTGGTCGGGATCCGAGCGGAAAAGACGTCTTCCTCCGGGACTTGCATTCGCTGCTGTGAGATCATGGATTGCGACATGGAAGATGAGGATACTGAAGATGGTCATTTGCTTCCGCTCGTCGGCCGGGACGTGGTCGCGGTCTCCTTCTCACCGCTTCGAGGTATCGGACTCGTACTGGGAAGACCCGCAGCCGAGTCTCAGTCAGATACTGGGTTACGCAGATCAGTCTACCTCCACCATTCCTGTCGAATCCCAGCCGCCTGAATCCCCTGCATCGCCTCGATCCCCCAAGTCGCCCACAAGTCCTTCACCTCCCACAGCGCAAGCAGGCGTTGTATCGAAGAAAAGCGCCGATCCGAAGATCCATTGTGACAATTCTCCTCCAGAGGCGAAGCCGTCGTCGCCTCTGCAAAGTATCTGCGAGGTTGCCGCCGTCCCAGATGCTAAGAAACCTCTTGCAGAAAAGCGTGTCAGGCGATTCAAGGTATTCCGAGGTTTTGTTCCCGAGGATTCCAGCAAATCTGCACCCAAACCGCGACCCAAAAGGAGCAAGAAATCTGCCCCTAGTAAGGAGAGGGTCAGTTGTCTCCCGTGCCTGAGGAAACCCGTGCCCAAGGTTGATTTCGAGCAGATCAATCGATTGCTGCGAGAGAAACGGGCGAGGGATAGGGCAAATGCGTTTCTTGCCTGGAGAAAGGACGAGTTCGAGCGCGCCAAGCGATTGGCCATCCGTTGCCGGACATCGCTAGGGCTTTTTCGCATCAGAGACTTGGACGAGGATCATAGCCAGGGCCTGGACGCCCTAGCATGGGCACCTCCGGAGGCTATGCTCTTCACCTTCGACCACTCTTCTTTTGATTTCATCGCCAGTTGCTACGCCAAACGTCCGAGGCTTTTCAGCAACATGCAGAAGCCTCTCCTCGAGGACGAGACATTGTGGAGGAACAGTCTCAGGGCTTATCACAAAAGTTACAGGACGCCTTACGGTCGACCGTCGTCGGGTCATACCTTATCGAAAGAGACTTTCAAGCTTTCTGCTGCTGAAGAAGAAGGTGAGCACCTTCTTTCATTTAGGTCTTTTGAGAAGAGAGAATCTTCATCTCTAAATGAAACGTAGTTTTTGCTGGCAATGAAGCTCCTAGCAGCAGATTTTGTGGAAAGTTTCTCAATCGATGAATGTCAGATCTCGGGACCCTAGCTGAAACAGGTCATCACATAAGCTAGAGGAATCCATGTCTCCCCTCTCATCACATGTCTGATGTACATCTGAATGATACCCGGAATTATAGTCTAATCATTCCTGACTGTAAAAGCCTATCTCGTCAACAGAGGCCTGGTAATTACTTTTCTGCCCCGCGATAAAAGATCTGCACCGGATGAATCCTCAAGACTTCATGACATTAATGGCATCCCTGACTATGAGACTCTATTTCGTCGTTACAATCCAGGTCACTTCTTGCCTACCCGTGATGAAGGTTCTGCAGCTGAAGTTTCTCCACGGATGCGCAAATTTGACAGCATGTTACTTGACGATGACAGGTTGTCTCGCCAAGAGCCAAGTTTTGAGCACGATTCAGAATACGCACCAATGAAGCTTCCCAATCGCCCGCAGCAGAAAACTGCTGGAACTGGCAAGTTCGACGGGCATGAGTTTAAACAGTGGAAGTCCCACGAAGAAGTTTTCACAGAGAACCGTGAAGTTGAACACAGACAGGCGCCCACACAGGCAGTTCAAGGCCGACTCGGGGATTCAGGAAATAAAGTTGCTGACGGACCAGGAAGTCAAGCTTCAGATCAGCCTTGGTATCTGGAAAACCGGGGCTCCGATCACTTTTTCAATTCAAGACGTCATGGTCCAGACTACAACTGGTACCGACAGAGCGAAGCACCTCAAAGCCCACGGCAGGAATACAATGACTTGCAAATGAAACGTCCGGCGCTGCCTGTTAGTCCACGAAGATCAGATGCGCTATCTCAGAATGTTTTTGATATTTCTTCCAGAAAGCCTGACCTTCAGCGCATGCCCAACCCTGCCTCCAGGCGAAAGACCTCACCATTCAATAGCAAGTCCTTAGGTGGTCCAAGACGAAGTCAGTCTTCAGAGAGAAGAGCAGCTGCGGTTAGAGATGGTCTTCGTAGAGAAAGGCCTCTGCAAGTTCCTGCTCATCGAAGAGGAACTAAGAAGGCGGACATGGTACCAATTGTGGCGCAAGGAAGGAAACAGGGAGCTTCACCTAGGCGGACTAAGAAGACATCCTCAAACTTGCATAAGCAGGAAAAGGTTCACAGCAGCAAGTCGCCAGACTGTGAGGACTTCCAACTGCAGTCGGAACGGAGTCCCAGGAAGCTACCTGATGAAGACAAAGTCATGCCTTATGATTTAGATTCCATCGCAGCTCAGCTGAAAGATGAAGGTCACGTGTTTTCGGAGCCAATAATTGTCATGAACGTGAACTCATCGATCATGCTACCGATCATAAGTAGCGGTTTTGGAGATGGAGGAGGAAGGGCACATTTTAACACAGAAGAATCAGTGTCGAGACAGAATGGGGACTTTGCCTCAGTGCTGCAGGATGACAGAAAAACTGAGGAAAAAGAAACCCAACCTCCGGAGAAGAATTCTCTGCAAAGTGACGCGATCACACAAGATCACACAGTGTCTGATGTTATGGCTCCAATAACATCAACAGATGAGCTGACACGTTCAGAGGCGGATGATGATGCTACATCGAGCAGTTCTTCTGAGAATGATCCTCACGTATCGTCTCACAGCAATCTGGATGTGGAACAGGGTGGACGTTTGCAGACTTCCACTCTTCAAACTGACATCAACACACAAGATCCAATAATTCCCAACGTTATTCTCCCTGTGACAGGGACAGATAGCCTAATAGGATCGAAGGCAAGTGATGAAAGCACTCCGAGCAGAGCTGATACCACTCCTGAAGGGGAATCGTTTTATAGCTCAAGAAACAGCTCCGAATTTGGAACGAATGAAATACCTTCCTCATCGGATCTTACTTCGAGCAGTTTTAATACGGCATCCTCGCAGCTCGAAGAGGATCACACACATTCAAGTGATGACACAGACAGGGGAAGGTCTCTGATTGATCCCAGACTTCAAGATCTGGAAAATTCTGCTTCTGAAGTATCTGTAGAATCTGTTTCAAACTCCTCCTCGAACTTACAGGCTTGGGTCAAATCGATAGCAGATACTTCTCAACAATATACTGAAGAGCGCAGGGAGCCAGCTAGTTCACATGTTTCTCCTCCAGAAGGAGAAACTCATCCTCGATCCCGTGAGGAATCTAGCAAATTGCGTACACCTGATCAACAACCACAAAGCACGGCAAGGAAACCCTTGATGATAGATGAAGCAATTCAGGTAAAGCTCGAGCCTGGAGAAGAATTCGACGATCAGCACCAAACTTCTTCAGAAACTCCTACGCCGGGCAGTCCTGCGCAACGTCCGTCAATGAAAGACGAAGGGACCCAGTTTTCAGCAAAAGCTGCTGTTGAGAAGGGGGAAACACCCGATCAATACTTACGTCCTCTTGCAAGACTATCCTTGAACGATAACGGGATTCCTTTCTCAAAACCTGGACTCTATCAAGTTCTAGAGCCGCCAGAAAACACTTCTGGAGGAAGAATTATAGCAACCTCCCTGACTAGACCGGTTGTGGTTGCTGAAGGACTTTCTCAGGAATCAGCCTCAGTGAAAAATCCTGTGAGCCCTTCCAGTGCGCAGTCGATGGAGACAATTCCTTCAAGGGGGAGGCTGGAGAGCCTTGATGACTCCCCATTAAAATTCCCTGGTCGCGGCAGATCTTCTAGGGCACCTTCAATTATTCACGACGATAGGGAGGGTTTCGATAAGGAACGCAATCCGAAGCATATCAAAATACATTCTTTTTTGCGCTCGATGAGTACTCGATCGACCAGTGTAGAGTTAAACAACCTTATCCTTCAAGAGTTAATGAGCAGGAACCCTACGATACAGGGTGGCCACACTTTCGGAGATCAATCCGATTCTGAAGATCTCAGCCCGAGCTTTGAGACCTCATACCCTGCGACCTCCTCATCCATGGAACAACATTCTGAATATGACCACGATAACGCTCTTGAGAGACCTGCGAGTGAGGAGTCAAGACAGATCTTTGAGACTCAGAGCACCTTGGAGAGCTCCTCATCTTTACGCGGAGGAGAAACTCCTGATTCTTTCCATACTTTGGAAACGCCTAGCACCGAAGCATCGGAAGGCAGCTCTACGAAGACGCCCTTGGACACATTCGCGAACAGCAGTGAAGACAGTTTTGGCCCAAAGTCGGATGTTTCAAAACGTGGTGATGAAGTTTCGGGACATAGCTCTGAAGTACTGCATGCAGAAATTTCCCTCTCAACTAACCTGGAAACCTCCGCTCGCAGACATTCTACAGAAGAATCTCAAACGCCAGTTGTTCTTCATCCAGGTAAAATAGAGAATCTCTCTCTCGAGGATCCAAGTACCCCCGTCACTACCTCAGTTTCAGCGAGACCTGTTGAAGGAACTGCTCAGCCAATTTCTTCTGGCTTGGACTCACAGTCGTCCCCACAGACTGAGCGAACCAGTACAGATCCTGCTACTGAATCGGGAAGTTCACCGATAGAAGATCAGAGCAAGAGTCCAAAACACATCAAAATTCATTCCTTTCTTCACTCTATGGCTTCCAGATCCCGTAGTGTAGAATTAGATAACTTGCTATTGGGTAAAATTAGCCAGTCATCGACTGATGAAGAAACTCCGCGAGCTCGTGAAGGATCACTTCTAAAACCTTCCAGCGTGAATTCAATAACCGGAGAGGAAATAATCAACCCTGCTTCTCCTCAGACTTCGGATCAAGTCGTAGAACAGAGAGTCGAGCGGAATCCTACCGGGGAGCCCTCAGAAAAGTCACCATCAAAAAGTATTACCCATGATGCTAATCATCCACCGGGTTTGGAGGATCCAGATTCAATGAGCAGAGCAGAAAGTCAAGAAATGTTACCGGATTCCGAGCAATCGGTTGCAGATTACCAGAGTAAAAATCCAAAACATATCAAAATTCATTCCTTTCTTCACTCGATGGCTGCAAGGTCAAGAAGTGTAGAACTAGAAAACTTGATCGTAGGTAGTGGTGGTCAAGACACAGGAGGTGACTCATCCACTGTTGAAGAGCCCAAAATTGATGAAGGATCTTTATTGAATCCTTCTTCGTTGATTACTGCCAAAGATTCGAAGAAGCCTGAACCCAGTTTTGTTAGAGAAAGAATAGAGTCCAGTTCTGCAGAATCCCGTGTGGAAGCTTCATCTGTATTGACTCAGCCTGACCCACCTCCCTTAGAAAGTTCGGATGCAGATGATCAAAGCAAAGGCCCAAGGCCTATCAAGATCCATTCATTTCTCCACTCAATGGCTACAAGATCTAGAAGTGTTGAGCTGGATAACCTCATTCTCTTAGGAAAATTAGCCAATTACTCTGGAGAAGACTCATCAGCTCCTGAAGAACCCAGAAGTCGCCAAGGGTCAAGACTAAATCCTGTGAATACTAGGTCTTCATCAAGTATTTCGAATTCAATCAGTTTTGATCCCACTATGATATCAGAAAAAGCTGGGTCAGATGTCACTGGACCTATCACTGAGTCGAGGATCAACAACCCACGCTCTGAGCTCTCAGCATCCTTGGATACCAAACATGGTACTGCAGCTCAAGTTGTGGAGGATCAAAGTCATAGCCCCCAGACCGTCCACCTCCCGTCAAGTTCTCAGACACTGGCGTCTAAACCTACCAGCGTGGAGGCAGAGCATTCGAGTGTTTTCAACATAGACCTTTCAGGTGAGCCAATTTTCCAGAAAGAATCCAGAAGTCGTGAAGTATCCACAACGACTGCAGGAAATGAGACAAATTCATCAGTGGGAACTGATGTTGGTAAGTCTTATCCTCCAACTTATGGCTCAGAAAAGACAGTCGAGAAGGTTGAAGGGCGTGGTGTTGATGAGATATCCCCACGAAAGTCGTCATCATCACTATCACTAACCAAGTCAGAAGGTGACCATATTGTTAGAAGGAGTGTCGTGGACGAAAATGGCAGAAGACCTAGTCACATAAAGATTCATTCATTTCTTCATTCAATGGCTTCAAGATCCAGAAGCGTAGAATTAGACAACCTACTATCGGCTCGCTTGAAGGAAGATCATAGAAGTGAGTCATCATCGGATATTCCTGAAGACGTCCGAACTCGTCAAGGATCACTTTTGAATCCTTCAAGTTCACGAGCCTCATCAGTTATTTCACTCAACTCATCTGATCCTGCATCAGAAACCAACAAAGATAGTCTTGTTGCAGAGATCACAGAACCCAATTTGGACAGATCCGTCGTCCTTCCTTCAAGGTCAGGATCCTCCTCTCAAGTGTCAGTAAATTCTCTAGTTTCGAATGCGGTAACAACAGCAGGTCCCGCTGCGGAGAGACACCTTGCAGAAGCTCCACCGATCACTTTGGTTCCTTCAAGTTCACGATCCTCAACAAACACATCACAAAATTCGTTACAACCGAATGAAGAAACAACATCAGGACCTACTCCGGATAGACTTCTCACTGAAGACCCACCGACTAGTTTTGACGGACTTGTTATGGATTCCCCAAGTTCTCATTTATCATCGCAGAATAAGCCTGTTTCTGATCCGAAGACTACATCGGCTAGCCTTAATCAAGAAATCAAAAAGCCGAGTTTTGATAATTCTGCTCCAAGAAAGTCTTCTTCTGTGGCATCTAACAATCCAGAAGTTCAGCCTGATCCTACATACGATGCTTTGCAAGACCAAAGCAGAAACCCAAACCATATCAAAATTCATTCCTTCCTTCACTCTATGGCTTCAAGATCTAGAAGTGTAGAGCTTGATAACCTCATACTACTGGGTAGATTGAACACAGACACTGCAGGTGAATCATCAACTAGTCATGAAGAGATAAGGAATCGAGGAGGTTCTTTATTGAATCCTTCGAGTTCCCGTTCAGCGTCTACAATCGCAATTGATAAGGCCAGTATTGATCCGAATCATAAGTCAGTACAGAACTCCGAAGGTGAGCGATCAGGTGGTGAACATGCTAGAACACATGAAGGTTCTTCGGGACTGGAGAATCCCAAACTACTGGATAGATTGGGTACAGACTCTGCAGGTAGATCATTAATTACTCCTGAAGAGAGAAGAATTAGCGACGGTTCTGCTTTGATCCCGTCAAATTCACGTTCTGCATCGACTGTCACAACTGATACTGGTCCTCTTGATCGGACTCATAATTTAGCAAAAGAGTCCGAACACGAGCAACCAAGTGGGAACGATGCCAGAACTCGTGAAGAGTCTTCAGATACTCTTCTGCTTTCACCTTCTGCATCCAGTATCTCAATGGACAGGGCTAATCATGAAGTACAAGCGTCTCCAGGTGGAGTATCAACTAGTGATCAAGGTAGAAATCGGGAAGGAAACGTATTTGCTCCTAGTCTTTCGCACTCAGCATCAAGTATCTCACTTGACATGGCTCGTCAGAATCCGACTCAGGCTTTATTCCAAGTGTCTCAAGGAAAATTATCAACTGACGAAGAAACTAGACCTCGAGAAGGATCTGCACTTTACCCGACCACTTCTCGCTCTGCATCAACTCCCTCACTGGACATTGGTAATCGCGGTCCTGAAAACAGACCAGCCGAAGGGTCTCCAAATGAATCACTCAGAAGTCGTGGAAGTTCCATACTCGTTGACAATCCTTCCTCTTCAAGTTCGACATCACCACAAACGAGATCTCAAAGCACAACTCGAGCATCAACGTCGAACGACCCGAGTGAGGATCAATCTAAAGGCCCGAAGCACATCAAGATTCATTCCTTCCTCCACTCAATGGCTGCAAGATCAAGAAGCGTCGAGCTGGACAAGTTGATCATGGCTGGAGTAAACTGGGACTCCCCTGGTGAGTGGATACATGTATGTGTGCAGATTAGAAGCCCATTCTTTCAACTGAAATTATTTCTTTTAGTCCAGAGCTCACGTACTTTTTCATAAGTTGAAATTACAGGAAATCTATTATAGAGACACATTTGCTTTGTGCATTTTTTTAAGTTATGGTGTTGTGTGGATATATATATTTATTTCTTTATTTATTTAAACGAGAAATTTGTCGAAAAATATTTTTTCATATTAATGGCATATATCTAGTGTATCTTATGGATCCTGGAAAACATTTTAACCAATATTAATTGCCAAAGATGAATATGTGTAAAATCTAAAGTCATCTTACTGCTTTGAAATTATAAAGTTGCATTCAAAACTGCAGACGGAGAAAGACAAGTCCAGCGAAGTAACTCAATCGTTGCAGGAGTAACTCAATCGTTGCAGCCAAGTGCACCAACTTCTCCAACACCACAAATCCAGAACCATCAGGGTGAAACATCGTCATCGACCTCAGCACCTTCTGAAAACGCAGTGGAGAGTAACTCGTCGGGATGGATGCCCAAGTGGAAGATCGATCGTTTCGCGGATTTCCCCCCCGCTCCGTTGTCGAGAGTGTCTCGCAATGATGGAGAAGAACCGCCACCATCAACTCCGTCTCGTGGCCCCCCTTCCACACCTCCGGATCAGGTTGAGTTTCTAGAGGCATTTTGGGGCAAGAAAGCATCTGGATCTTTGCCTCTTGATGACATGGATGCACCGGCAGACTTTCAATCGTTACCAACTAACCAAATTCAAAAGAATAATGATGATCAGAGGTGACTAATGGTTGTTCAAGTTGAGGATATAATTAGAGAGCTCTTTCTACGTGGCTCTTCAGAAAGGTGTCTGTACGATTACATAAAATCAAGATTCAAAAATGTAGAAATTGTAGTTTACAGATCTTTTGCGTGCTCGAATAAAAATAGTGAAAAGTCCTTGCAATATAGTGCTTGAACTGCAAGTTTTTTCAAATCGTTGGATCAGCTTGTGTATATCGTGAAAAGCAGTGTAGTATATCATGCGATGCATCAAGAATATCTATTGCACTCGTTGTTTGATCTGAACACCCGTAGATCTTCTTTTTATTAAGACATATTTAACACCTTTTTATATCGGGAAAGTAACTAAATCCTCAAATGAAAACTACAGGAATGTAGGTATCCTAGTAATAACATGGATGTCAGTTCGTTATAGAAGTGGTTGAAGTAAAATTTGACGCCATTGAGAAGAGAGAATACTACCACTCCTGATCTGAACTCGTTTCTTGTATTTAAAGTACACTGCAACCTGTGCAAACTGAGAATGTTCAACACCTTGGTAGACTAAGGAGCCTAAACCCACCAATCTGTACTAAGCGGGGAGTTTTGAATGCAAGATGAATAATTGTTCCTGAGTCCAATTTCCTAGGTATTTCATTGAATTCTCTTGTTTCAAAGCATTTTTAGCTTCAAACTGTAGAAACCTTTATCCTGATTTCTTTATGCCAGTTCTTGTATTGCCTATCTACATAATTTTTTTCCATTTTCAATATCTACTTACATTTGTGAAAAAAAACTACTCAAACTACTCCCTCCATCAGGAATTTTAACCATTCAGGATCATCCACTCTTTCAATAGTGAGAAATCCATCATCCATATCAATTTGAGAAGATTTAATTTTCAAAATATTTTGGATTGCATACATCCATTGTGCTATTTTTGGAACTCTTATTTTTTTTGGTAAAAAATTCCATTAAAACACAGAAAATTTTTTACATAAAATTTCAATTTTATAACTTATAAATACTAAAATATAATTCTTTGACATTTCAAAAAGTTCGACAATTGAAACTTATGATATTTTTTGAGCATTCATCCAAAGAATAATAAATTTCATATTTTAATCTGCAACTAAAAAAAAATGTAGTTTCTTAGGTGAAAATGATCAGTTGAATACTGTGCACTAGTACGTCCAAAACTTCCAGCTGCTGGCCCTGACCGCATGTTCTACCCGTGGGCTCGTAGCGTATCATAAAGACGAGTATTTTCATCGGTCTTTACAACAGGATGATCAATATTTCGAAGTGATCATATTCGGCGAGTGGGTGTTCTTCACTTAAATGACACGGAGCTGCAGAATTCTCGTCCTTGCACCTTCAGTGTAAATTCTCTTTGTTGACTTTTGTTATCTCTTAAACGAATCCAGAGAATCTTCCCCCTTCTCTTCTACTGTTCACCAGTACTTTCTCGCACCGGACAATGGTAATATGGGAAAAGAGCGTGGGTGTCATTTCTCCCGGGGTTTCAGACCTCTTCGAAATATATGTATATCAGGAACGAATCGACAAATGTAACTATGTCGCGTGAGCTCAGCAGGTCCATCACTTATTTTGTATCTCTTCAACTTTGCAGATGAATATCTTGTTTCATCATCAGGAACCTGCAAGAACGTGAAAGTCTACGGCATGATCAGTTCTGTTAGCTAGTGAACCCACATTCACACCGGTACTGAGAATACTGGCCCTCGTTCTTGAACGGCAATATGGGTCGGGCAGAGCTTGGTCCGTTTCTATCGAATCGCAGAAAAGGCGCAGATTAGATTAGTAGGGTTGTTGCTGCTGCCTGCTGGTGCTTCTTCAGCCTCTGCTTTGCCGACGAAACAGGTTCTGGGGCGTCTCGTCGTGGACTCAAGTGGACTGGCGCGATTGTTACTCATAGAGAAGGATCAGCTCGAGATTATGGAACTCATCGAGGAACGGATTGCAGTTTAGACACGCACAGGCTTTTGTTGCCAGACAGCTGGAATTTCCTCAGGCCTAGCGACAAGATGGTATATGCACATATTAGAAATAACATCGTCATGATTTGCTTGCTCCGAAGCGGTTCAGAAGAAATTTGAATCAAGGTGGGGGATAAACCCACTCCAGTACCCCTGCTAGGTGCAAGATCGTGTCAAGCAATGTAGAAGTCCACAAAGAACTGATATTTCTATCAGTTCCAGAAGCTAGGCTTGGCCACGGTCCGGACCGACGGTTAACCGGTTAACCGGTCCCAGATTTCTCCGGACCGGTTAACCCATCGGTTAACCGGTCGGGGAAAAAAATTTCCTCTGGCACCAGATTTAGACCAGCGAGCCTCGCTGGTCTAATTCTGCCGCCAGAGTAAATTTTTTTATCACCTAATTTGATCACCCAATTGGATAATCCCTAGCATAAATCTCGAGCTCGGATGTGTTTCTCCAGCTTCCCTGCACTCTGGCGCAAAATCGAAGTCTCTCCAATTCGAGAGCGTTTTCACCTCCACTCTAAACACCCTGGCAATCAAACCATCAACGAGACCAGAATCACGACACTCGCTGGGCACGACAGGACCCACGACCGACGACAATGAGCAATCGATCCCAGCCACAGCCCCTCCCATCGGCCACGTAGGGTCGGGACAGATGGTTAACCGGTTAAAACCTCGGTTAACCGTTAACCGATATGGCAAAATGCCGGACCGGTTAACTTACCGGTTAACCGGTCCGCACATTTCCCGGACCGGTTAACCGTTAACCGGACCGTGGCCAAGCCTACCAGAAGCATCCGCCTATAGACCAAATATCTGAACAGTGGCTCACATTTTGTGTCCAGATGGTCGCTTTTTACCCACTGCCTGGAAGAAGATCATCAAGCTTCTGTTCTGGCTGGTCAAACCAAATGTGCAAAATGTATGTGAACAACAATCACCACGTTTTTCATACGCAGATTTGAGGACTAGAGTGCCCTCGGAATAATTCCCAGCAGATTTCAATATCCCTCTAGTGTTAATTTTATCCTCGGTAAACACCCATCAGCTGGATCGCAGTCATCGCTCGTAAGCTTGAGTGTTATGAAACTGATACGATCGTCTCCTTGTGCTGACTTTCAATCAGGTATGCTTCGAAGCACATAGGGTGTATTGAGAACCTATTGCGATTACGTATATAATGGAGAAAAAATTCGTAGTCCACTAAAATAAAAAACCGCAGAGTACCAAACAGAACGCTGGAGAGAATGGTATCTGGAAGCGCCATGCTCTCGTATGATCCGTGATACGCGCAAATCTCACTCAGGAATTTTGAGGTTCAGCTGGACAGTTTGAGGGCAGCAACATTGCGCACTGTGAGCGTAGGTCAGTTCAATATTAGAAATCAGACAAAATAGGAAGAGAATTTCAGCATACAGACGTCAAAGCTAAAAAATCAACTCCCGGCAAGACATTGAGGGTTTCAACTCCAAAAATTAATTCTATGTTGTTTACGAAAGCAGTTTAATATTTCAGAGACTATTCTAAACCTGAACGTGAAGATTCGAAGGCAGTAACGTGAAAAGGAACCTTCCACGGATGCACGAGGGCATCGGAAAATCGATGATGTGCTGGATGACGAATAAGAATTAATGAAATACCTACAAATCTCCGTACGCTGCTCAGATTCTCTTCGATGGCAAGTCAAATTTGCCCACGTCTCGCAAAATGAAGGATAACTCTCCTCTTGATGCACACGAAAAGATTCCACGATCACAAGTCATGCATGCCAACACACACGAAGTGGTGGAGGATTCAGTAGTAATTTGAGTTTACGTGTGTGTTTCGATAAGCACCAGGATGAGATGATATATTTCCAGCACGTGAAAGTCTCTGAACATTCGTGCTGATTCCAGATAAGTGTAACAAGCAAAACGTGTGAGTTTACATGCGAACGATGACACCCAGTCTTTTCTTGACAATTTGCTCTTCTCACTTGTCAAATCAGAACTTACGAGCATCAAACCTGGCGAAATGCACGTCTGGGTGAAGAACATTATACCTGATATGAGAAAATAAAATGTTACAATGCCGTTATCAAGTTTGATAGCTCTTTATGGGGCTCGGTTGGTCTTGTCGAATACGAGTTACGAGAGATTCATGAGATACTTGAAAGATTATTGCATATGTTAGTGATTCACGTACTAGAGAACTGGAGTAGCTTGAGACTTGGAAGTGCGAGTACATGTGGACCAAAGGACAGAGACAGCGAATTCAAAACTTAAGTTCATAAGCCCATAAGCGTAACCGGTACCTGCCTTGGAAGTCACAATTCCTAATCTCCTGCTGATTGAATTATTGCAGTAGCAACCGATTATAAGAAAATTAACCGTGAAAATCATCAGACGCTGAAGACCTAAAACATAGCTTTGGAGGTTGTATGTGTGAAGTTTAAGAATTCAAGGTGAAGTGCACTACTTCTGACCAGTTTAAAACAAGCATGAATTAAGTCCCAGCAAGACAATTCTCTAAAGCAGACAGCCAACATTGATTACAACTACCTGCGTGAAGACCATATTAAGCCGCTCAAACAACTGCAATGAGCAAAAACGGTGCGTCAGTATGATCTATGTACTTGGCTAGATCCACCCCGCCCGACTCAGGGTAGTGGAATGAGTAAGCATGGCAAGAATTCCAGAACTGAAGAACATTAACTTATTTCAAATACAACTCTATCCTCTCAATGTCGAGTCATCGTTTGAACATTGATTGCAAAGTCTTGCATAACGTGGTGGATGCTACATAATCAGCCTTCAGTCATATTGTGACCTGATATGATAGCTGGAAATATGAGCAAGCCAAGAGACTCTAGTGAAGACAGGAACCATTTGATCCAATGAGGGCCAAGCATGCGCTACATATTGTAAACCTTCAATTGAAAATCATACAATGGCGGTTCGGACGAAGCAATATAACTCCCTCAAAGATTCTTCGAGATCCATGTATTTCTTCCCAGTTAGCTGGAAAATTGGATAATGAGAGGTGAGGGTTAGTTTCCCATTTCAGATATACAGCATATGTGAAATAGGACTGCCAAATATACAGGAAATGCAATATACACCTACTTCTTGGGTTTGAAATTTAAAGCAGTAAAGCTTTGAGCACAAAGGTGACTCCGATGCATTGTAAGCTCATGCAGGTCTTTCTTGAAAAATGAAGGGTCCAAGAAATTTCAGGCCGAATGGAAATGAAGCAACCTGCTTTTTATGTTCTTTGATAAACTGTCACCTGGTCAAGAACTTCAAGTCCAGTCGAAGCAAAATCTGATCCATCCGGAAATCTCTGGTCTTCCTTAAAATTCCTACGCTTCAAAATTGAGATGTCATACATTTAGCACGGATGGTTGATTCAAATTCCGTCATTTTCTCTGCAAAGAACTTTGGCAATAAGAATGCTTACGAGATACTTGTCAGACGCTGTTGGTTTTGAAATATATATAATATGTTTAGTACCTACTCTAATCCATCAATACATGGTAGCCACCACTTTATCCTTCGATAGAAGTAACTTTTTGAACCATGCATACCAGTATATTTGGTTCAGTGACTTAGTTACAAATCTAAGATTTGACTTTACAGTTGGATGTGGTGGTTTTACTAGCTAAGACTTCTTTCATCTACACTTTAGCACTATGTCTAAATGTAAATTTTTTCCTCAACAATTTGACTATGTACTTCTGCTCTTGTATCTCCTCTTCTACGTGCGAAGTTGTCTTCTATCAATAGATTATCTTCATCTTCTTCAATTTGCATCTTTGAGTTCTGCATCGAACCTAGCCTTTTCTCTTCATCGTTTGTGCTCTATCGTCATCTGTACTTTTTTTTCTCTCTTCTCCCTCTGAACTTGTTATGGAGTTCTGGTTGTGTAGTGACATTGATGAAGCGCACGTTACCCTTCAGCTGGCAAAGCCTGAGGCCTAGATTTGTTTAGGGGCTGGCAATCTATCATTTTACTATCATTAGGTGTGAGAAGGATATGGGAATGTGTGTTTATACGTGTCCTCATGTCATTCATAACACTATTGTAGATCACAGGCTAAGCGTGTGAAGCCCAACTCATTGTTGGCTATACAGCTGTGAGTTAATATATTCTATCCATTGCCAAGTGTTGTATGTATTTGTAGGTAGTTGCCATTTCTCCTCAATGATTTGAGAAACTGATCCATTGTACTTCAATGTGTTGCTAGTTGGCGTCTTTCTATAGAAGTTTGAATTGTGTGTTAATGTTGTTGTAGGCACAGTTAGATAATGTTTTCAAAACGTGATCCAAATCTGAAGAATGTGTTCACACAAACCAATTGCTTTCTTCTGCCTGCTTGTGGTCTCAGTAAAAATTTTTAAGAAATTTCTATCATCTTCTCCCAAGTCGAACAGCTATTTCGAGGAGAGACTCTTGCGAATGATATCAAAACATACAGTCATGCGGCACGCCATAGAAAGAGGTTTAGTTTGAGGACTACGTCCAGAATCCCCCAAGAATCCCAATGAGTCATTGGGATCCCAATACGTCATTGCTAATGACATATTTTCCATGAGAAGATGGAGATGAAGAGTTACATCCGGATTACAGTTTACACCAAATTTTTCACATCCAATCACTCGAAACTTCTTACAGCTAAATTTCATACATCCCTCTATAATAATCTTTGGCAAAGCCTTTGTTTGTACATTTTGTTTCATCCTTGCAATGCTTGATGGGCCTTTCAGCCCTTCTTTTTTTTTTACCACTTGGCTCCCGTGTCGCTTTCCCACATTCCTCGTCAAAATGTACACTTCAGCCATTATCCTGGACTCTATTTTAAACGAAGAGGAGAGTCACTTCTAATGACAGCCAAGTGGTCCAACATTTGCGTTTCACAAATGGACGTGCTTTAAAGAGAAGAGACAGGTCCGATCTGAATTTGGGATTCGGATGATGATGATGAATCCAAAATTCCAGAAGCTGCTTTGCTTACAGAATAGACCTCCTCTTTCGAAGTTCTAACGAACTAGCTTGGATTCTGAACTCGAAAGTAGATACATACCGGACTTGCAGATTCACGAACTGCAAACACTTGGCAGTGGACGGCCATTCCGAAGGTGCCCTCAATTCCACGTCGCAGATGGGGAGGCTGGGTACGGACATTGCCCAGCCTTCGAAAAATTCGAGATCATGTTGCAGTGGAGCCAGTGAATGGTCTCGGCGGAGGCGATCGTAGGATCTGGGACCGAGGGTTCGACAGAATTCGCAATCACGCCAGTTTTTGCAGGAACGGAGGGAGCACTGTACGAATTCAGTCGTGTGCTGCGGAGAGTGGAGTGAGGAGGAGGAGGAGGAGGAGGATGCCTCCGTCATGGCAGGGCATGGTGCCGCCGGGGATGGATGATGGCTCGGAGTTTCCAGCTACGTCAGCTTACGCTCTACCGCCCTCGCTCGTGCCCCCTGTCCTGGTGCCCTCGGCCGATCCCGAGGCTGTGGATAATATGGTCAATGAGATAATGCAGCTCGGCATTGTCCCTGTGAATCTGGCCAGTGATTTAGCCCAGGCTTTGGTTTTCGGAATTCAGTCAGCCATGGCCTTCGGGTTGCCTCCACGAAGGTACGCAGTATACTTCATCCCTTCGTCGCCAGATGAGTAGTGAAGTGTCGGCTGATTGAATTTCCTACAATCGTCAAGAGGAGAATCGACTCTAGCGACAGATTGTTCGTCGAAAGAGATTTTCTCGCCTTATGGAATTTCCACGCTTGCAAGTCGGTGATCCATTCACTCACTTTCATTGTCAGGTCTTCATTCTGCAGAAAGATCTTGCACGTTCAATCTTCATTGTTTGATCGCTGGGTTTTAAATGGAGAAGAAAAATGTTTGAAAGTCGAAAATTGCAGGAGTCATCGATATGTAGCAGATTTTGAAAGCCTGAACATTTGTCATGAGCTGCATTGTTTGGACCGCAAACTTGACCTTCTCGACTGACAATAACGCTAGGGTTTCTGTCTCTTCTTGTGAGATGCATGGAATCTGAGTGATAAGAAACTGTAGTTCTGAAGGACCAGCAGCAGTGTATCCGTAGTATTTTCCAGTTTCTTACAGGATGTGCAGGAATGTTGCCCCCAGAAATCCGTAATTTTCATATTTTGAGTCATCTACTGCATTTCCAGCATTCATATATGCACTGGACGTTTTCAATGAACAGCCACAGTTTTAACAATTTTACTGTACTGTGGCTGTTTCACACCTCCTGGCAAGATTCTCGGCAACAGGTTTCAGAGAACCAAATTAAACTTATAGAGCGTCGTATATGGTTTTCAAAAGGTTACCTGATTCACAAAACATATATCTTATCGGGGCGATATTCTTTTTCTCAAGTATCTCTTCCGAACAATGTTCGGCCCCAACAGTATTGTGTCCTTTAAAGCGTAAAGCATGAAGATTCGTATTTTACTACATAAACACCGTGAACTCAGAACTCTTTTTTAACAGTTGGAATCGTTGATTAATCTAGACGATACGTTAGAGAAGCAAATCATATTGAAAGGGTAGGAAACTGCGCCGACGAAGAGAAATCATATTGTCTCCTCTGGAAAAGTTTAATGATAGAATTCCAAGGAGAGTTTGAAATGAACGACGCTCTCTTGTCCTGTGATTCACTTCTGAAGTTTTGTGTTGCCGTGCAGGTGAATGATCTATGAGATGGAGGAGAGTTTTTAGCAACTTGTTCCGAAGCTCGGAGTTTCACACATCAGAGCAGCTCAAGTCTGCTGATTGTTCCGACTGCTCTCTAACATTCAATTTCTCACATACCTTTACAGATGATGACACAGTGATCTTTAGAGACTAGAATCTAAGGAACAAAACTATTGTTGAGTCTCTCTTACTCGTACTTCGAGAAAGCTAGATTGCTAGTGGACAGAGGTAGCTGGAGAATCACCTGAAGAATTGGCGGGAGTTCGTTTCTCGACTCCGATTAAGAGGTTCATAAAAGACTTGAACTTTTGAATCGTTGAGTTCTGCAATGTACAGTGATCCCAATCTTTGGAAGTTGATGTTTGATAGAAGTTCAGAAATTATGTGTACTAGACCAACTTACAGCTTCAACTCGGATACCGCGTTGTAAAAGACTTTCAAGCGTACAGGCAATTTTATGCTTTCTGAAAAACGTCATTCACTCGTCGTACATGTTAAGCACTTTATACGATTTTGTGATAGTCTGTGAGTATCGATAAAAATGGTGAGCAATTTCTTGCTATCAGTAGATAGTGTGAGATTTTTCAAAGCTCGATCACAGTTTGTCCTGACTTTATATTCTGTAGACATGTGCAGCTGGCTACATAACATAACCTAACAAGATGTCTTCTTCAGTATATGACGTGTGCTCTTAATCTAGTACCTTGCGTTACATGTCAAGATTGGATTGGGCGATCATACTGCATGTGATAGCTGTCCGAATACCTCACCTGAGATTTGAAGTGTATAGCTCAGGTGAAGAAAAGAATCATCGTGAAGGCACGAACTATAGAGAATGTAAGACTGGAAAACCACACAGACCGCACTGTTCAGTTTTAGTTAGTGACAGATAAGAGGGCGGGGCTATGACTTCATCTACGGTCATCTTAACCTGAACCGCCGTCTCCCCCATCACATGACCTGTTGGTTTTTCGAGGAGGTTGCCCTTTATTCCCGATAGCATCACAATGAGAAATATGTCTACTGCACGTAACATATCCGAGGAACAGGAACACTAATGACAGGGTTTAGAGCTTGAGGATGGTTAACTGTGACGTGTTAAGCCCTTTGTATTTCAAATCTTCGTATCATTGCTAAAACCCCTTCACCCTCCTTCTCATTGAAGCGAAGAGTCACGTGTCGAAACGAGTTCATGGACTGAGAGTTGCCATAGGTGCGATTGCGTCCGTCTCTAGGTCAAAAGCATGGGCGTGAGTGCTTCGAAGCCAGAAGCCATGATGCCATCGGATGCAGACACAAACCCGGCCCAACCAAAACCTGCCATGAGGATAGCAAGACAAGTTATGTTATATCATGTCACGCCTTTTGCGGAATGGGTACAGGGCACTGAATCCCGGTGATGGCAGCAATGGAAGATCTGCTATGAGAAAAAGAGGCGCTCCGCCTTCTTTTCTGAGTGTGAGGTATTGCCTCTCACTCAAAGTAAGGAGATATCCCTCTCCTTTCGTTGTAAAACGTTAAGCGGTGTCCATGAGTAGACATCGGGTCTCCTGGCGTGTTGTGGTTGCCCTGCAGAAAAAAAAAGGCGCCAGACAGCACACTTCGTCTAGCGATTCCCTGAATAGAGAGTATGGTTATGGCAAATGTGTCTTCTGTCAACCTTCTGTGCATCTTGCTGTTCAGTGTGCAATCAAATCTTGGAGTGTGCTGTTTTGATGATTGTTTTCCAGTCATGCCCTGATTTTCAAGTGCGCTATGTGGTTGTGAACTGCTTAACTGGGTTCTCAGGCATATTCAGACTTGCTTGTGAAACACGACGAAACAAACGGTTGGGTGGATTTCAGAAAATTACATACTGCCCCGAATGGGTTTAGTACGACACAAGGGAAGCATCTGCAAGTACAGATTTGACTTAAATTCTTCGAAGCCTACGATTCACGTCACACCCGCATCACCCGAATATATGAGTACGAAATACGGTGCATTGTAAAAAGGTTCAGAATGACGTTTCAAGTATAACAGTTACGCTTCATGGGAGATATTTGCTTGATTTGCTTCATGGCAACAGTGTTTATTAAGGGGGGAGTTCTTGGTGTATGATTCTGAACGAGTTTCTGCAAATCATCGTCTCTGTCCCATTATCACATTGACTATAACATGTTGCAATTCACGGTCGGTCTATTTCAGCTTCAGACATTGGTCTTTCATAAAAACTATTATGTTGCCGATGTATCAATTGCCATGCTTTTCTAATTGTCGTAGATGTCTTGTCCTTTTATTGAGTTACTTCCTGAGCAACGAGATTGCAGTGTTTGCCAATCTTTTGGCCTTCACTGGGAACTCACTACTCTGTCCGAAGCGATTTTCATGTGTCTTATCTCGTGTTGTCATTCTCCAGTGGTTTCCAATGGCTGGTGGTATATTGATTAACTCGTTCTGGAGGGTCCAAGGATGGAAGTATCCATATATAAAAGTGGTGAGCCTTAATTATGGATCAGATGAAATGGAATGTTCAGACCTTCTGCGAGGGAGAATAAGAAAGGAAACGAAATGTAGATATATATTAACATCTATGTACATTCAAGATAAGTTAGTGTTACCTTGTCGCCACATACTTTGGACGCAAGTTCGAGTCTCCAAGAATAACTTCCGATGCACGAAGTAAGAATACATCCGCTGCACGTGGTGGTAAGATTGAACACGATGTTTATGAGTGTCGGTACGAATGGATCTTCCTGGTGTTCGATACATGGGTCTTCGTGGACATGTTGTAAAGACAAATTCAATTTTGAATGTAGATTTCTTGTTAAAATCACATATCAACGTTTTTCAGGGGGGCTGCTTTGAAAAATACTTTCTGGCATACCAGCTCATTCCTATCACTCAAAAGTGGTTTAAACTTGTATCCAGAGTTATGGATACAAGTTACGTCCAAATCCCCGCTCAGCAATCTGAATATGTTCCCATTTCAGACGTGCTGACTTATGGTCGAAAACCCTGTTGGTCTACAAGAAAAATAACTTTCTATACGCGTTCCTATCTCTCAGTGTGGGCCTGATACATGTCGTATATTTGACATTCCACCAAACAGGAAATCCATGATTCTCGATCAGAAAGTCGTTAGATGCAGATATTGTAGCTCCTGGGTCCGTAATCTGTCTTTCGTGAGGATTAAATGTTCTGATTGATGTGCACAGGATAAGTGCTGACTTGAGACTTGACATGTGACAATCTGGGACACTCAGATTCAGAGGCATGAGGACTTACAGCCAATTCCAGTCCCTCAGGGAACAAAAAGTCTTCATCATTTTATTCCTTTCGAAACTTGTTGTCGAATGGAAAAATCCCGATGTTACTTCACTTTAGCTCTCACGCCCTGTTTACAGTACACCGTAAACCTAGAGTAATATTTGCGCTCTGGTTTAAAGTCGTCGCGTCTGCTTTTTTGCACCTGCCAACTTCTTGGCTTCTCTTCGTTGGAGTTTCCCTTTCCCAGTACGTGACAAGTTCGTCTTCATCATATTACTATCCTTTACTGTCAACTATTCACTACTATCACTTTGTCCTAGCCACTTGGCCCCCTTCATTACTATGTGGCAATTGACCATAGACCTGGATAGTCAACAAAAAAGAGTCAGTGACTCCGTCGTGGCTTGCTGATTCCTGAAATATGCGATCGGAGATCAAGTTCTAGACCCAGCTTTGAGTAAAGACTTCTCAATGGAGAGGCGCCGTTCGTGTGTAAGGTAGGCGCTGAATCTGTCTCCTTTTAATAGCAATCCTGTTGATTTGGCGGCTAATGCAGGTCAACCCCACAATATTGTGGAACAATGTCAACTACATTCGGAGTGACGATGGCACTGGTAGGGCGTGTGTCAGTGGTCAGTGTCACTTCCTGACACTTGTGGGCGCCACTTGAAGTACCAAGTAAAATAGGATAAGCATGGGAATGCAGGGCTAATTTTATAGATCATGGATTAAACCTGATGGATAACATGTGACTAACACCCACTCCCATCACACCGTGGAGTATGTTGTAGATAAATATAAATGTCTCTCGGGTCAAATGGTCTATGTTCCACATTATCATCCCATGAACCAAAAATATATTATGTACTAACCTAGAGATGTTGAATTCCAGACCTTAGTAGCATGTACAAATTGGAAGGAATCTACAAATCGTTTATCGAGGTATATTGTATGATTCTAGTCAAATCGCTGGATGTGTAGAATGAAATTTATGAGATTCATTGCTTCTTTCCTGACAACAGATTTAAAATATTTAATCACATCCAACTCATTTGCATTTCAAGTCTTTATCTACATACAATCACAACTTATAATTGATAAAGAATAATTGAATATTAGCCAAAAATATCAAGATTTATATTTTATCTATTGATAATAAATCAAAATATGATACAAAATTTAGAGAAGATGTCAAATCTCCTTATTTTAATTCAAATCCTCATGCTTGTATAATGTTATGATAGTCTTGTCAAATCTGACATGACAGCATGTGAAGGATAAAAATATGCAAAGTAGACAATTGATAGCACAAAGCAACTCTGGATGAAATTATAACAGTTTAATTACTGTGTATCTTACAATTGAGTACGACTATTCACATCCTTAACAACAGAAGTGACTACAAAGTACTCAAACAAACTATATTGAATAAGTAACATTAGGTTTTATACATCCCGATGGAAGATGAAAATGAGGAATAATTCTCAAAGAGAACATAAACTATGTTTGACGAAATTAATCTCATGTTTACTGCATGAGATTAATTGAGAAGTAAATATAGTCGATTTTAACCATTGCAAGTATGGGATTTCACAAAGATATCCAAATCCAAAACTGGTGGCAAAGTGTAGAATAGCCATTCCTTCTTGATTTAAGAAATTGGGGTAAAAGTAACATATGAAAGCAATATTATTTTTTGCACTCAATGTATTCTCTGACTAGCAAAATAATATCACCTCTCGCAACTATTTCACACAGTTAAAATTTAACATATATGATAATATTAATGATGCATCTTCAACTTACAGGCGTTCTGAATCGTGGTCACCTGATTTTTTATCAAAGAACCAATGGGGAAAAAAACGAGGAAGGACGCACTGTCAGTCCGGGCCTAGACCTTTGTTTTAACTTGTTTCGTTCCTTTTAAACGCTTGTTGGGTACAGTATTACCATATAATTTTTAGTATCCAGTTGGCCCCATTGGTAAGACGTACAGTTTCGCTTCCGCTTCCTGTGTAGAAAACTATGAACTCGGCAGAACAGTAATGGCGAGTTTCCAAAGTCGAACAACTTGGCGAAGGAAGTGACCTCATGTCCTCGATACCTGGTACAACAGGTGACCATGTTCAAATCGATGGACGGTCTGTCCAGTCTGTCCAGAAAGTGTCCCATGACAGACGCAAGTCGCCAATCTCTCGACCACACAAGAACAGCGAGCTCTTTTCCGAGTCTTCCTTGGACTTGTGTCCGAACCATCACCAGGGGAAAATTCGTAGATATTCAATTTTCAAAATAAAATTAGCAACTTTCTCGACAAGTCATGGACCCCAACATCTAACTGGCTTCCATGATTAGAAGGAGGATGTTTGAACGAAGGTAACATTTCAAGCAACAGATTTCGTTACATCTACTGGCTCCCTCGGTAGAAGTAGCATGACCAAGGACTCGAGGTCCGAGCCTTGGAGGGTCTGAGTCAACCCATCCATGTTGGACTTGGGCCCGGGTGAGCTCTATCCCATTAAAAGAATCCATTTAAAAAACACCGAAAAAGCGTCAAAACAATAAACAGAAATAGGCCATCATGATGGATGGTACGAACGGACGGTATTTACGCCTGAGATGCAGGAAGAACACCAACATTAGATTAGACGACGATTAGATCAATTTGCGCAGTCACTAGTTCATGGTTCTGGCCCCGTGACATAGCCAAAATGTTCTCAGCCCAGTAAGCAGATCTCGTCTGCATTCTATTGTACGGGATCACATCTCTGTTACTGAGTTTTCTGCTCCGACTCTACGGCATGGGCTGCCGAAGCAAACGTCGTCCTGCAAATGGTGATTGTACTTTAAACCACCTTCTCGGATCTCGAGGTGGCCCCCACAAGAGCAAGCACGGCCTTCTGGATACAATGGGCATGGACGCGGTTGGCGAGAAGCGAATCGACATCAAAGCAAAGAGGACACCGGTGGTCACAATAATGCCTGGATGGAGGAGAAGGATGGATATACCTGTCGGGAACTGACCGGAAGAGCTTTAATGTGAGAGACGCGAAAAGTTCGGGTCTTCGGATTTCTCGGCCTTGTGTCGTAAATCCTGTCGAACCGGGAAATCGAGAATCGCTCAGATTCTTGATAATACAATTTCGATCTAGGAGATGGATTCCAGGTTGGTGTCGATTCGATTTGAAAGGGTCAGCGATAAGTATTGTCATGTCCTTTCTCGCAGCTTCAGATACTCATACTCACCCTCCATTGGAAGAAAGAGCACCGAATACAGCAGCACCGACTGCAGAGGAAGGGCCTCAAGATTCCCCTCCAGCTCCGATGCTCATGCGAACGATGAGAACGGGTAGTGCGGGCCTAATCAAACGATATTCGGATTATAACGACTACAGCACGTGACCAGAGTGTAATTCCCCAGCTCATGTCCTCTCAGGTGTATCTTAGGCCATGGAATTGTTACGACACGGACGATCATGCGCCACGGAACTGACTTCAGAAGAGCGCATGACTCGGTACTTCGGATGGGCGACATACACTTCGATTGTATTAGATGATGCTGGAATGGACGAGGAAGCTTTTTTTATCTCGTTCGCCTTTGAGCTCATCTTCATCACAAAAGAGAATCCCTTCAACTGTACTCACACTTTTGTGCGTAATTCATCTTCACATTCAGTTAGAAATAGAACAGTGTGGTGATGGGATGAGAAGACCCATCAAGCCCTATAAAAACGAAATTAATGTAAAAAGAGGGGACAACATGAGGCCACAACGACCTTACAACATAAAATGTGGGTGACTGCATCCATTAAATCCAAAATGTCACCTAAGCGTAATCTTCTTCACTCAGCAAAGCAACCAAAATCATCACCTCTAGCCCTTTTTTGAATGGCATTTGTTTGTGTTCAATGTAAAGAAGTAAATTAACATTGTAGATATAGAATGAATATTAAACCAATACGATGATATTGCGGGTGGCTTAATTTGTTATAATCATTCTCACTCTCCCATCACCTTGTCGAATTATCCGACCATAGCTTCAAATGACTCCAAAAACATTTACATTAGATGAATATCATACTTTCACTCCATTGGAAAATGTTAAAGCTTCATAACCTCATGATATGGAAACTCCAAAGTAATGTGAACAAAAATGTTGCCTGACCATAATATGATTAAGAAAACTCAACAATATCTATCGATATCATACCCTCATCGCTCTCTGTATCGTGGTAAATTTTACCAGCGCTTAGCCAATCTTCCCTCTCGCATGTAAGTGAAACTGATGGAGTTATCTAATATAAGTCACCATATATATTCACATACCATAGACATAGGATGTGCACAGGATGTGCATATGGTGTGAAAAGCGCTCAGAAATATAGATCTTCGATGTGCAAGTATCAGATTCTAAGAATCTGCCATCATAATTGCTTATACCAAAACAGGTTAGGAACTGGGGTAGAACTAAGTAATATAGAGAAAAAGTAAAGGAAGGTCCCATGAAGTCCGCACCGAGAATTGAAATCCTTCAGAGGTATAATGCCCTGAGTACGCAAAAACTGGAATTACGCAACTCCTCGTGGGGCAACTCTTCGTGTGAATGAAACTTTATCGTCCCTGCCTGTGGCTCCCACCTCCAGACTTCGGGCAAAAGGCAAACTAACGAACACTTCCGATTGTGGATAAGGTTCTGCAAGCGGCTCTTACGCGCACCAAAAATGCATGTTATTAGGGGGCAGTAGCATGAGACCCGAATGCGCACCAAGAATGCAGAAAACGCGGATCGAACGACCGAACTTCAGTCTTGTGATCTACGGGACGAGGTCTGACCTGGCCAAATCTAATCTATGGCGGCATATATGATGAACCTGGTACCTTCGGAAAATATGGTAAGGACTTCGGATCAACTTCCAAAACAACGACAAGAGTGCTGGTCGTATGACCCCTTGTCAACATCCACACCTACTGCAATGAAGCGTAACGCAGTACGAATCTCGTGATTTCCAATCAGCTGCGGTTAAATACTTGACATCCGCCACGGGCTCTCACGGTACGGTAGCTGTCCCCATTGCACTTGGACATAGTACGGTTCTTGCTTTTGAACATATCTAATACTCATCTCCATAAATTGATCACATGGGGTGTGTCACAATGACGAGATACATCGCAATGCCGTATAGAGCTTCACCATGAATATAATATTGTGGTGAACGTTAGTCAATATCTCTATAAATAAAGATTTTAATAAATATATTTTCCAATTTAGTACTTAGAATTTTTTCCTATTTTTAATCTTGATCATTACCTAATATTGAATTATTTTATCTGAATTAGATTTAATTGTAATGATTCAGATAAAATAATCATTACAATAGAAGACACTTTTCATTCTTAATTAATTTGATCCAAAGGAGATATATGTAAATTCACAGAGATAATCAATATATTGAGATCATGTCGGGATGTAGCGCAGTTGTTTTGCATCGCTATTGCATTTAGCAGATCACATAATGTATCCCGTGCAAAGAGTGGTATGGCCGAGATAGAAGTCTGAATTTGTCAGCAGAGTGTTGGAGAATTGGTCTTTCATATGATCGCGATGCATGAAACATCTCTTCAAGTCTATGCTTGTTGGTGTAGGGTCTTGTGTTTTCTCATCTTATCACAAATTCTTCACATTTTTGTAAAATTGCCGGATATCAGGACCTAGTTGGCTAAACTTTCCTGATTGCTATCTCTTTCTTAATATATTCCTAGTCTTAGTGTATCAGGTGAGTGAAAATGGAGGTGCAGAATCTTGTAACATGTTCTTATGTTCTAATCTATGTGGCATAAGTCATGTGGGGAAATAATGTATAGCCGTATTTGTTGGTTGGGTTGCAATGTTCGATACTAAAATAATATGAGAAAATGCATTTCATTCTGAACGGTGCTTCATTGAGCTTTACGATTAACCTAGACACAATCCTGAGTGTCCATATAGATACTATGGGCTTTATTACAAACCTCAGTTTATAGTATAAATTAAATGAGTTGTTTGTAAATATTTCATAAATGACAAACGGAATGACAATGTTTGTAGGTTTTGAGCAATATTTCTCATCAAAATGTACAAATTAAAGCTCTATGCCAAGGATTTAGGAAAGAAATTGCATATGGCAGACAAAATATCTCTAAGTGATATATAAACGATCCTTGAGTCAAAAATCATTTAATTAATCACAAATAGATTCGTCAATTCTGAAGAATTATGTTATCTTCTATTTATACTCCTTGTCAGATTTGCTTTGGTCAAGTTAATGTTAGTAGTATATTGTCACTCTTCTTTGCATCATGACCACATTTTATTTATCATAAGATGTAGGGTAATATTTTTTGAAAGCTCACTGAAAACCCTATGTTACAAAACTCATCCCATTGGAAGTTTTGAACATCCTTACAATGAGCCATTTTTCATCATAACCTTAAGTATTATCGTCATATTACCAGCTCTGAAGATAATTCACGTCAACATCAAGTGTAATCAGACTACAACAATCAAGTCCTTCGAGTATTTATTTACATACTCTAAGGACAAAGAACTCAGTTTTTTGGGGCGTTCTAGCTTTTGAGTAATATGGGACTATTGAAACATGTTTGTGAAAAAAGTGTGGTAGCATATCATTCTACATATACAACTCTTATATTATTTGATGTATTTCAAAATTCATTATTTTAGATAAAGTATTAGATGATCTCCTCCATATAACATGAATGAAGGTCGGTGATAGATTTTCAAAATACAAGTATCATTAATATTGTTTAATTGTCTACATATCTCTTAGGCATTAGGAGATAGTCACGGTTGTGATTTTATTGGGGTCACTGTTGATGCTATTTGGTTGCAATTTTGAAGCTCTTTGGAATTCAGTACTTTTCATTCAGTATCATTATTGGAGAATTTAAAACTGCAAGTAAGCGCAAGTAAGCACGGCCAGTATTCTCATGTATTACTTCTCTTTGTACTATTGCGAGCAATAGAAGGAAATTGTCATCTTCAAAATTGAATGCCTAATTTTGTATTAGATTTTCTTTATTCTCAGTGTCCCCTCCATGGTAATCTTCGCTTTTGCACTCAAGCTTCCATGACAGCCGATTTGATACATCAGTTATACATCTGGCTGAATATCACTTAAGATAACTTATACGGAGTACTTCAGTATACGAAGCCTCCTCGTTCTCTTTTCCATTTTCTGGTAAATTGAATACGAAGTAAAAAGAATGGTGTACTGCACAATTCACCAAGTAGGGATGAAACTCTAGCTTTTAATTGTACGTAAATGAGAAACGACTTCAAAACAAGGACCGACTAAATGGATAAATTCGAACAGTTATTGAGTTCAACAAACATGCTGCGAAAGTAGAAACTTCGGTCTATGGTCAGTGTCAAGACTTGTGGAACTGCTTCGGGAGTACTCAGAAGCACACAGAGAGAACTCGCACTGTCTAAGAAGCTTCTGAATACTACCTAATCAGTTCCACAAGTCTTGACACTGACCATGAACTGAAATGAATACTTTCGCACATAGTTATGTATAGCCGGGTAAGAGAGAGATGAAGATCTCAGATGTTGTAATCTCCTTTCCCATAAAGACAAAAAGAAAAGTTTACAGATATATACTCCCGTGGAATATTTATCCGGTTTCCATTTAAGGCTTATTCCATGATGATTTATGAACGATGTTCGAGCGAGTTGAGTTGAGTTGAATTTAAGAATTTATATATATATATATATATATATATATATCACCTAGATCCTGTTTTTTTAAGAAAAAGAAAACTAAACCAGTTGTGAATGGTTCACATGTAACGTCTGAAAAATGAAGAAATGCAGAAGGCTTAGTTTGGAGAAAACTAACAGTTTACAATGCTAGGAGAAAGTAACTGGTCTAGTTTCACATTTGGCATTAGAGATAATTTGTTGAAATAATTCTACTCCAATTA